CAAAACCCACCTTAAAGATCGTCACTTTATGTACCGGGAATTGCAAAAAAAAAAAAAAGAGTGAGATTGTGCAAAACGAGGAGAAAACGACTAACAAAAAGGACAACCTTTGGTTTGGTTTATAGTGATGATTCTGTAAATTGACAAATAGACTTTGGGTGTTGTTTTAATGGGAGTGAAGGCTTACTTGGGGTAATATCGGAAAAACAAGCAAAATATGGACGGATATAAATTATTTAGAAAATAAATTTAAACACATTATAACTTATTTAGGTTAAAAACCTATCTAATTTTAGTGGTCAAGATAATGTTATTTTTATCAGAGGTATGAATTCGAACAATTGTAATATATACGTGTTGTCAATAATTAAAAAGATCATGAATAAATATTATCTTATAATTATTATATATTATTTTAAAAACCTTTAATCGATTAATGAATGTATTTTATTATTAAGTAATTAAAGTTAATTTTTTTACACGTATACTGTCATAGTCAATCAAGGTTAATATTAAGAATATGATTTGAGCCGGGCGATCGGGCATATGTAATCTTTAACTTTAATCGATTTATAAAATTAATTTATATTGAAATATTATTATTTTAAAAAAATAAAATTAATTTTTAATTCAATTTATTATGTATGATTCTTATTTCATGATTAATTTATTTTCTATTAGAGTGATAAAATTATAATATATAAATCATCATAAATAATGATTTTCATAAGATTAAATCTATTTAAAAATTTATTTGTCAAGTGTTATAAATTTCATCATATTTATTTAAATAATTTATTTTTACTTTTCTAAATTTTATTTTTAATTATTTGCAATCTTTTAGTCTATTTAAATACTTTAAATTAAACTTACTTCCTCTTTTTTATTTTTATATTAAATCTTAATTATTATTAAAATTCAAGAAATTGAAAATGAATAAATAAAATTTAAACTATTTATCGAGATTAATCATTATTTTTTTATATATTAAGTAAGATAGGGCTTTTGTGGTAATAATAATAAATAGTATACCAAAAAAAAAAGGAAAGGCAAAGCAAAGACACAAGTGATGATGACAAGGATACGTTACTCTGCGGACAAGTCCAAACGATTACGAAGCATCTCGATAGAGTTACTTAAATTATTTATTTAACCAATTTATTAACAATATATCATGGAATTAGTTAAAATTAAGGTATATATATATATATATGATAATTATAAAATTTAAATAAAATATTACAACACGTAAATGTAATAAAAACTAAAATGTATCTTAAAATAGTTTAAATCTAGAGAATTATATTTAATTCATAGAGGGTTAGACTCACATGTAAGATTTTAAAGTTCATGACCTTTCTATATATAAGAGTCATATGTCCCCAAACATAACCCTCATTTTAAATTATTCCTTAAACTTTTAAAAATTCTTATTTCATCCCAGAACCATGACTCTCACTTTAAATCAGTTCTTAAACTTTTAAACATTCTAATTTCATCCCCAAATCATGAATATCATTCTAAATTGGTCCCTAAACTTTTGCATATTCAATTTTATCTCCAAATTCATCTAAATATGTGATCCATTTCAACCATACCTTAACCTAAATTTTTTTCAAACATATAGTAATATAACTTGGTCTAACAATTTTATTAATAAGGGATGTGATTGGTATATATGTATAATTTAGGATTAAACTAAAGTGTTCAAAAATTTTGAGGAACAATTTAGAATAAAGATCATAGTTTGAGGATGAAAATTAAATGTTAAAAATTTGAAGACTAATTTAGAAGGATAGTCATAGTTTAGGGATGAAATTGAAATGTTTAAAAGTTTAGGGAACAATTTGAAATGGAGGTCATAGATTGAGGACATATGATACAATTAACTCTATAATTAATGTTATATATGCACCAACCAAGTGGCCTCCGTAGTAAATGAATTGTTGTTATTCCTGAGGACTCTGGTTCGAGCACCATAGATGTCAGGAGTATGGATTTTCAATGTCGAAAGGTTGAGAGTTATCTTTAAGTATATACTACCTTATACTTACCCCAGAATAATAAAAAAAATTATATACTTTAAAAGTAAATAAACTAAAATTTGATCTCTATTTTATTACTTTTTTACGGTCGATTCAAAATTCGATCTTACCTTCGTCCTTTGCAGCAGTCCGAACAATCCTCATGAACCCTCAAAAAAATATTTAGGTTAATATACATTTGATACCTTAATATGACTTTAAGATTTATTTTGATACTATTTTTTTGGGGTTCAATTAAGCATCTATACATTTTTTTGGTTCAAATTAGTTAAAAGTTATAAATATCAAATTGAATAAAACATTTAGGGTAAATTACGCATTTAGTATCTAAACTATCAATTTTGGTATATTTTAAAACCTAAATTTTCAATTTTTCAAAATAATACCTAACATTTAGTTTTCATTTCATTTTAGTACTCGTCGTTAAAAAATTAACATGTTTAGTACCTAAATTATCAGTTTTGGTCTTTTTAGTTCCTAATTTTTTTCCAAACTTAATGTTAAATTTTGAGTGGGATACTAAATGAAACAAAATAAAACTTTAGGTATGGTTTTGCAAAAAATGAAAGTTTAAATACTAAAACATATCAAAACTAATAGTTTAAGTACTAAACGTGAAATTTATCCAAAAAATTAAGTCCAAATACCATTTTTAATCAATAAGTAAATTCAAGTGTCTAATTAGACAAAAAAAAAAGGTTTAGGTATCAAATTGAACAATGAATACAAGTTTAGGTACCAAAATGCAAATTTACCCAATTAGTAATAAAATGGAAGAGTTTGTCCTGAATTTAAAAAGAAATACTCATTGTGTAATTGACAGCTTTTGAAATTTTTAAAAATGAATCGTTGAAACTCGTCACGTCAAGATGACGAGTTTCATAAGATTTAATTTGAAAGATATGAAATAAAAAATAATAAACAAATAAATAATATTAAAAACTTAAATAAAATTTATTACAAGCTAATACAATGGATAATAAAATTTATTTATATTTTATTAGTTATTGACAATGCCAAGGAGTCGTCGAATGATAATGACACAGGGCTCATCGAGTACGTCGGGTTCGTTTGCCTTGATCGTCTTCATCTTTGTTTGCTTCTTGAAGAGGAGATGTACTGAACATCACTCCATTTTGAGATGCACCTTTGAAATACGATGATGAACTTATGGTATTTGACACAAATTGTGTCGTCTTTGACTCGACTTGCCTATGTTGTTGACCATATATAATATGATCACATTCACCATCACCCACATATTCGGTTGAAGATGCTTGAGTGCTTTGCATTTCATCCGATGAACCTCCAACCTAATTCGACTGAGTTTCCGTTGAAGCATGATACGGAGGATAAAAACCAAAACTGGTACGAGATGTAAAATAATTGGTAGAAGAATAAGCAAAAGACGAAGATGATGATGATTTATTATTGGCCTTTGTGAATTTGGCCTTTCCTCGTTCTCATTTTACCCTCTCTTCTGATATCGTTAAATATGGTTTCCTATTTGCTTCATAATTTCGAAGGTAGGGAGAAATGTCAAAACCAAGGTCGACGGGTGTAATCTCGTAACGTATTAAGACTAAGAAATGACGTTGATTCCATTGCTGAATGTGATCAACATGTTTCCTCATCCAATTGTGGGTATGCTTCCCACATGTATCAATTCTATGAAGCGTGTCCATATTAATAATTTGTCTAGGAATTGGTTGACGAGACCCAAACTATCCCAATAGTCTATCTGTCGCGTGAATCTCAATAATTGCAAAGTGTAGCAAAGGCATTATGACACACCACAACTTTGACCCTTTAAAAAACCCTGATGGCAATATTCGGTGGATCTCATCGTCATAATACGAGATCAAAGCAAACTGTAAATATTAATAATAAAAGTTAGTATAAATAAAGTGAAAATTTTCCATATTTATCGGAAGATACTGAATGTGCGTCAAATTACCAGTGTTGTGACACACAGTAAAATTTTTCAATTTCAAACGATATTGAATATGCACAAAACTACCAGATTTATGATTTATCTAGTAACAATATCCCTTCAATTAATTGGAGCATATACGCTTGGGCGATAAAAATCACCTCTTGCTCGATAGAGTCATCAGTCACATTAAATTCATACTCTAACTAGGTGATTCGTATCTGGTACCCCTATAAGATCTCTGGCGGTGACATATTTCCCAAAACTTCGTGAACAATTCCGAATACGTTGAAACTGTAGTTCCCCACTACAGCTGCACCATTAACCGTAACACTGAGTTGGTAAGAAACATCTTCCAACGTAATTGTCGATTCATCACTCGAAAAATGGAAAGTAAGTGTTTCCGGCCTCCAATGTTCAATGAGAGTCATAATCAATGTCGGGTTCACCTTAAAACCATAAAAAACGTCATTGAATACAATCTAAATTATTGCAAATATATAATAATCCGCTGAGGCAGATCTTAGAGACTCATTCCTTTTTTACGAACACTTCGTTCTTCATATGGACCAAGCTCGACTAAAGAAATATCGATATCATCCAGGCATAACAGTTCATCGCGGATAAACATTTTTCGGAAAATTTGAATATTTTTTTTTATTTTCTTCTTAACAAAACACAATAAAAAACCTAAACCCCTATTTATAATCTAAAGGTGACGAGTTCCACGATGATCGTTGCAGCTGCCCAAATACTTTTTTTAAAAAAATTCAAGGCAAACTCGTCACCTAGACGTGACGAGTTTTAATTTTCATTGGAACTCGTTGCCTTGATGTGACGAGTCTCATGTATACTGTAACAAATACCGTAGATTACAAACTAAACTTTCATTTGGCTTATTGGGCCAAATAAATTTTCTGCCTGGGATATTGGGCCAAAAACCCGTTCAAGGCTTTCCAACTTAAAACCAATTGTGAATGGGCTTTAGGTAAACCCAATAGAAGGTTCATTTTGATAGATTTGAACAAAGGCGAAGAGAAGCGAACCCTAGCCACTAGCTGGTTAAGGTTAAAGTTAAGCTAAGGTAGATTTGACCAGGAAGACTCGACAATTGGGCACCGTCAAGCTCCAATTTTACATCGCATAGGGCCAAGCAGATGCTGATTGATTCTCATCGACACTGCTCCATTCCTCTCAACATCTCAATTCTTCGGTACAATGTCTTTAAATTTTCATTTCTTTCATTTATGATTGATAGTTTTAAATTGTAAGCTCTTTTTGCTTCCTGATCAGCATAATCTCTTAAAAGTAATCGCGGGTAAGTGGAGATTGGGTTAACGAAGGGGAAGAAATCCGGGATTGTTTTAATGTATTTGTTAGGGTTTATTTTTTTCAATGTGGCTTAAAAAGGGAGATTAGTGAAGGAAAATGAAATAATCGATAATGTGTCTGAGAATCTCACCTCATATTTTGACACGCATGCTTTGTTTATGATAGATGACAAGCGCTTGGACAAAATAAGTGCTTTAAAATGGTAAATAGAAGTGTAGAAAGGTAGTGGTTGATTTGGGTGCATTTGTTTTTAATGAATTAGAGATTGTTGCTCCCTTTGAAGCTCTGGGAAAATGTTAACGAGAGGATGATGAGGCTAAATTAAGTTTCATTTTTTGGAGCAAAGGAGCTCGTGGATGAAAATTTGGAAGAATTGTCGACTTGGTCTGATTCATGTTTTTTTTTTTTGGTTTTGCTATAAGTTCTATTTTATTTTATTTTATTTTCTCATTATGGGAGGATGATGAGAACGAATTAACTTTCAAATGCTGGAGCAAATGAACAATGGAGCTTGTGGGACACTGCTCACAATTTGGAGGAATTGCTTACTTGGTCTGCTTCATGTTTTTTTGGTTTTGCTATAAGTTCTATTTTGTTTTATTTTTCTCATCATGGGAGGACGAGGAGACCAAGCTAACTTTCAAATGTTGGAGCAAATGAGCAATGGAGCTTGTGGGACACTGCTCACAATTTGGAGGAATTGCTGACTTGGTTTGCTTCATTGTTTTCTTTTATCAATAATTTTTTTCCTTATCATCAGAGTGGATGCTGATGATAATGGGATATCTGGGTGGATATTTGTTACATCATTTTTTAAACAGGGAATATAACTTTGTTTCTCTGTTAATTTGGGTATGTTATTTGTGCATGCAGTAAAATAATTCTATTATTTGTTTTCCGCTAGTGGAAATGAGTGGTCGTTTCTCTCGCACAATCTATGTTGGCAACCTGCCCTCTGATATAAGAGAATGGGAGGTTGAAGATCGTTTCTTCAAGGTACTGCTGAATTTAACATTCTGGAATGCTGTTATCTTTTATGAACGAAATGGTATACCCATTTTCTCATGTATTTTTTATCACAGCTGTAATGCGTGTATCTTGTACTTGTGCTTGATTTTGATGCATGTAACCTGGACTTTTTATGAACCACATTAATGTGTCTGATGTATCACTTTACTTCTGGTTGATAACTGTTTTTGCTTTCTAAATTTATTTTCTCTTATGTAGTACGGTCGCATTTTGGATATTGAATTGAAGATTCCGCAGCGCCCTCCATGTTATTCTTTTGTCGAGGTAAGTTTCTCATCGAACGTTTTATCTGGGATGCACAGATAAACAGTAAAAAAATTCAATAAATTGTGTTTGTGTTGTAGTTTGAGGATCCCCGAGATGCTGAAGATGCAATCAGAGGTCGAGATGGTTATAACTTTGACGGTTGTCGTTTGAGGGTAACAAAAGGCTCTTGTTTTCATGAATTCCATCTGTGCTTCTCTCCATAATTGGATTTTGATTGCTATTGATGTAGGTTGAGCTGGCACATAGTGGTAGAGGACAATCCTCAAGTGACCGTCGTGGTGGGTATGGTGGTGGTGCAGCTAAGTTCGGGGCATCACGTCACTCTGAATTTCGAGGTCTGCCTAGATGTTGAACCGTGTCAATCTTGTTGTTGCCTATTTAGTTTTTATTTGCACTAACAAGTAACAACTGTTTTAATGTATGTGCTTGTTTCACTGCAGTTATTGTCCGTGGGCTCCCTTCTTCTGCTTCGTGGCAAGATTTGAAGGTTTAGAGAACTTCTAGAACATGAAACAAGTTTTGGGCTTTGTTAATTAAGCTGTAACTCTTACCTATTTATGAACTCTTTTCAGGATCACATGCGAAAAGCTGGTGATGTGTGTTTTGCGGAAATTTCACGTGACAGTGATGGGGTATGTGACGTAAGGAGATGTAGTGATAAGTATACACTTTTGATTGTTTACCTTATCCCCTTGATGCTCTCTCTGTTTTTCCTTTTTTTTCCCATCACTACTTGAATTGTAACTTGTTCCAACTCTGTCAGATCTAAAAATGTTGCTATTTGATATTCTTATCATCTTATCTGAGGCATACTTAAATGTATATTCTCATCTTCTTGATTTTCAACTAGCTGGCTTAGTTTCAAGGCCTCCATGTTTTTCAAATGAGTTTATATTTATTATCTCTCTCTGTTGTTCAGGAACTTTTGGTATTGTTGATTTTACCAATTATGATGACATGAAATATGCTGTAAGTAGTAGTCTCAATCTGAAGGGATCTCAAATAAGCCAAATAAGGATCTGTTAGAGGAAGTAGTAGTCTTGGAAAAGGACGATTGTAGGGGGGTTGGAACTGAACTGATTAGGGATAGAGACAGATCGTTGTTCCAGCATAGAAGAACATTTTGTCCCAAAAGTTTGCCCATAGAGAGGAGGAGAATGGCCAGCTATAAAAGACATTATACCAGGTCGAGGGTGAGAATTAACTGGTTTGAGAATAAACACAAAGGTATTCCGGTGAGAAAGGATTTGCAGCCTCCTTCAATAAATATGGAAGGTGGAAGGGAAGTGATTTTAAATGGTGCAGCTGATGATCAGAACCCTTATGTGGCACCAACTAATTGTAATAGTTCTTCGGAGGTCTTGGCAGTAGTTCCTTTCTCTGCTGTAGGGTCAGGAAGGTCTAAAAGAAGGGAGAGAAGAGTTTTAACAAGGGAAGCAGTTGATATGGTTAATTCTCCTTTAGTTTTTACTCCTCAGTTCTCGAAGGCGGTTGAGGAAGCGATGGTTACATGGGAAGTATGTAAAGTTCTAGGAATTTCTTTCAAAGATGGGAAGAAGGCTTTTTTGGACAAAATTATCAACCTTGAAGAGGGTTCGGCTGAGAGTAGGGAACAGGGGAAGTCAGGGGTTTAGTCTCTATTTCTCTGGAGACTAGCTATAAGGATTTGGTGTAGATCTTCTTGTTATGATAAATGTCAACATTATTTCTTGGAATGTAAGGGGTCTTGGAAAAAGGAAAAGTCAAGAGTTGTAGCTAATTTGGTGAAGAAGAATAAGCCGAACTTGATTCTAATTCAAGAAACAAAACTAGAATCTGTTTCTTTGGCTCTTAAAAGAAGGATAGGGGGAGATTCCTTAGAGGAGGGATTGTTGCGCCAGCAGTGGGATCTGCTGGTGGATTGATGATTATGTGGAATGAAAATGATTTTGAAGTTTCGAACAGCCATCTTAATGGCAGATTCATAGCAGTCTTGGGAAGTTCAGAAATTCAAGTGAAGAGTGTCTGATTATCAACGTATACGGTCCATCAATTGAAGCGGAAAAGGAAGATTTTTTCAGGGAATTGTTGGAGTTTGTTTCGGCTCAAAATATGTTAGTGTGTATTGGGGGAGATTTTAATGTGTATCTTGATCCGGACGAGAAGTTGGGAAAATCACAAAACTGGCATTCTATTGATTTATTTAGAAACTTCTTACAGCAATCACATTTAATTGATCTACCGTTGGTGGGAGGAAGGTATACTTGGTGCAATAATAGAGAAGACTCGACTTGGGAAGACTAGACAAGTTCTTAATCTCTGGGACGTTTCTGTCATGTTTTCCAAATGTAGTGCAAAGTCTCTTGCCTAAATCCCTATCTGATCATAATCCTGTCTCATTAGAGGACAAAGCTGTTAATTGGGGACCGAAACCATTCAGGTTTTTTAATTATTTACTAGAGGAGGAAGGATTTGAGGAATTGGTTAAATCTTCAATGCTTGCTATGAGGGGAGAAATAATAAAAGGGGTATTTTCAGTATCTTAAAAGGTACTAAAAATTCAATCAGAAATTGGTCCAGCAGTAAATTTACTGGGATCCCTGAGTCGATTTCTGATTTAGAGAGGAAAATTAATGAATTGGATCTTAAAGCTCAAGGTGGAATTCTTTCGAAGCAGGAGTGGGATCAGTTGAGGCTGTGTAGGACAAATCTATGGAGGTTGTATAGGACAGAAGAAAGCATCTGGTTTCAGAAGTCAAGGGCAAGATGGATCAAGGAGGGGGATAGGAACACAAGGTTTTTTCATCTGTCTGCTCTGAACAGAAGCAAAGAAATGAAATCTTAAGTTTGAAGATAAATGGGAGTGTGGTTTCAGATCCTCAACAATTAAAGGTACATATTTCAGAATTTTTCAAGGCAGCCTATATTCCAATTCAACATTGGAAACGGAGGATTTACTACTGGATTTTGCTAAGCTATCAGGGATCAGTCTAAGAAGCTTGAAGAGCACTTCTTAGAACAGGAAATTTGGCAAGCTATAGTTTCATCAGACAGCTCTAAAGCCCCAGGACCAGATGGTTTCACCATGGGTTTCTTTAAAACTGCTGGCCGATTTTAAAGGAGCACGTGTTGAAATTTTTTGAAGATTTCTATTTTGGAAGGAAATGGGAGCACGGTATAAACCATGCTTTTATCACACTTATTCCGAAGAAGCTTAATCCGGACAGTGTAGAGGAATTTAGACCAATCAGCCTTGTAGGCAGCTTATACAAGATACTTTCTAAAGTTCTTTCGAAGAGACTGAGTTGTTGTGTTGGTGATATTATTAGTCACTCTCAGTTTGCGTTTATACCAGGGAGACAGTTGCTGGATTGTGCTTTTATAGCAAACGAAGGGATTGATTACTGGAGGAAAAAAGGGTTAAAAGGGGTGCCTTCAAAGTAGATTTTCGTAGGGCTTATGATTCCGTGGAATGGCCAATTTTATTAGAATAATGTCAGAGATGGGTTTTGGTAAGAGATGGTTGTCGTGGATATCTCAGTGTATTTCAACAGCTTCAATCTCAGTTCTCGTAAACGGTCTCCATCGGAAGAGTTCCACATGGCCAAAGGACTTAGGCAAGGGTGCAGTTTATCTCCGCTACTGTTTAACATTGTAGGTGAGCTGCTTAATTTGATGATATCTAAAGCAGTGGACAGGGGTCTGTTTCAAGGCTTTGTTATTGGGGAATCTGAAAATTCTGTTCGATTGACACATCTACAATTTGCGGATGACTTGATCATCTTCTGTCAAGCATCTCTCTCCCAGATTAAAAATGTCAAGAGAGTATTGAGGATTTTTAGTGTTATGACAGGGTTGCATCTTAATCTAGCTAAGAGTAAGCTATTTGGTATTAATGTGGAAGAGGAAGTTTTATCAGAATGGGCATCTTCGGTGGGCTGTTCTATTGATTCTCTTCCAACAGATTACTTGGGACTTCCTCTAGGTGCTAAGAAAAACTCAGAAGCCTTATGGATCCAGTTTTCAAGAATTTTAGTTCCAAACTAGCCGGCTGGAAAGCTAATTGTCTCTCATTGGCGGGCAGGACAGTTTTATTAAAGTCGGTGTTAACATCCCTACCAATATTCTTCTTATCTCTTTTTAGAATGCCTTGTAAAATTGGTAAGAAGCTTAATTCTTTAATGGCCAGTTTCCTATGGGGGGATAATGAGGACAAAAGGAAGATACACTGGGTTAATTGGAAATCAGTCTGCACGCCTCTAAATTATGGTGGCCTTGGTGTTCTTGATGTGAACATATCTAATCGGGCTCTTTTGGGAAAATGGGTGTGGAAGTTCGCCAATGAAAAAATACTTTGTGGAAAAGTGTGTTATGTTGCAGGCACAAGGTAAGTAGTAATTCCATGTCTATTTGTAAGGTTTTTTCGCCCAAATCTTCTTGGATTTGGAGAGGGATTGCCAACAATTTCTTGAAGAACGACTCGGAGGGTGAACGTATCAGATCTAACTCCAAGTTGAAACTGGGAAATGGAAAGTCTATTGCATTTTGGACGGATTCATGGGCTGATGAGTCTCCTTTAAAATATCTTTTCCCTAGAATGTATGCGTTGTCAACAAATAAATGGGGTATGGTCGCTGAGTTTGGAAGTTCAGATTCGAACGGTTGGGTGTGGAACATCGATACCAGAAGGAATTTGTGTGACTGGGAGTTGGATCAGTGGCTGGATTTAATGACAAAACTGAAGGACTTTAAACTGACTGATTCAGTTGAAGACTTTCTGTCTTGGTCTGCAAGTGGGGATGGACTGTTTTCAGTGAAATCTTGTAGAAAGGAACTCGGCAAGGTGTCTGGGGAGTCCGATTTATGGGTAAAAGGGGTGTGGCAGGGTTTATCTCCTCCTCGTGTTGAAGTCTTCCTGTGGCAGCTAGCTCATCAGAAAGTGGCGGTGAGAGAGGAGTTGGTGAAAAGAGGTTTGCAGCTAGGGGATGAAATTTTATGTCCGTTTTGTAAAAAACAGTGGAATCAGTTCAGCATTTATTTATTTCATGTGATGTTGTTTGGGAACTTTGGAACAAGATAGCAAGCTATTGGGAAATAGCCTTAGTCCTTCCAAAGGATCCACCTTCTTTGCTATGTTCTTGGGGTGAGCTTAGGGGGAAATCGTTGATTTGGAAATTTATCCCGGGAGTAGTATTTTGGTCGATATGGAAAGCTAGGAATGCAATGGTGTTCGATGGTTCCCCCTTGGATAGGATGTCTCTGTTTTTTATTGCTAGATTCAGGTTATCTAAATGGTTTCTAGCCAAGTATCCTAAGTGTCCTATTCAGGAGGATGTGCTGATTGGTGATCCATCTCTTGCAGATGGTATTAAAGCTCTCAACATTTACAATTTTCAGGTTTCTCGCTGGATTCCACCCCCTATGGATTTTTTGAAGATGAATGTCGATGGAGCTGTTAGACTTGATGGCTCAAATGGAGGTATAGGAGGTATTTTGAGAGATTGGAATAGCAACTCCCTTCTGACTTTTTCAGAAAATGTAGGTCAGGGTCCCCCGCCGGTTGCTGAGTTAAAGGCTATTAAGAGAGGAATTGAAATCTATATGTCTTCTTGTTGGGTTAAGGTTGGAAGGTTGATTGTGGAAAGTGACTGTAAGTCGGCTGTGGAATGGGTCCATACACCAGCAATGGCCCCAGTTTTTATCCTCCCATTAGTTAAAGAGATTTCATCTTTTATCACGGACAGGGTGCACTCTATTAGACTGATTCCAAGGGTGTGTAATGGGGAGGCTGATAGTTTAGCAAGATGGGAATTGGTTGATGTTTAGTCGTTTCCAGTGCGTTTTTATCGTTTGAGTTTAGGTTTTCGGTTATGTTGAGTAACTTAGTCTGTTGTGTTTTTTCAGTATGGTGTCTACGTTAAATCTTATGTAATTTCGGAGGAGTAATAAAGTTTCTAAGGCACTCTTTTCCTCCTTCTTTGATCAAGAAGGAGGTTTTTAAGGAGGCCTGTCATTCTTATCAAAAAAAAATGCTGTAAGTGGTTTGATTAAAAACTTCCATACCTCCTTGCCTTGAATTTATGCTACTGAAATGCATGTAATTCAAATGACTGGTTTTAACATCACACAGATTCGTAAACTTGACGATACGGAGTTTAGAAATCCTTGGGCAAGAGCTTATATTCGGGTAAACCTGCTATGCATTATCCTATTGATACTCTTTCTCATATTATTGACCGGTGTTGCTATATTCTCATTCTCTCTCTTATTCGTTTTAGACTGAAATGTTATTTGCCTAAAATTTATGAACAAGTTCAATTCCAATTATTGATGTGGCTGGATCCATGGAACCATTGATTTGTTTTAATATGCAAAGTTGTAATTTCTACTTCCCATGTTTTCATGCATCCGAGACTAATAAACATGTGATTCAATATGGTCTTTATCCTTCTTATCTCCCAAATTTATCCATACATATTATATTCCTTTTGTTATGTTTACAATCTAGAATTTTCAAAATTGACCTTTTTAAGCCTCTGGTATTTATATGTTCATCTAAATGGACAGGTGAAGAAACATGATAGAAGCCCCTCCAGGAGTAGAAGTCGAAGTCGCAGCAGAAGCCGCAGTGTTAGAAGAGACCGGAGGTATAAGCCCTATCCTCTTCTCTTTCAGTCCTTCAAATGCACTCCAAAATTCCAACCATTTTTTTTCCTGTATGCAGTAAATCACGGGAAAGTTCTCCATCCAAATCACCAGTGAAATCCCGATCTGCCTCTCCTGTCAAGTCACACAGGTAATTTGGCTCTCCCATTTTCCATATAATTTATGAAACATCTTCTACTTATATTCATTAATTCAGAGCAAGATCGAGGTCAAGGTTGCCTCTCAATATCCAAGTAGACTGTCTGGTGGGTGATTTAACCTTGGCAGATTATAACCGTGTCACTCCAAAATTGGGTATGATTAAGCCAAAGTGGTGTCCACCACCTATGGGTTTCTTTAAATTGAATGTGGATGGGGCTGTAAATTTTGATTGGAGGTGTAGTGGTATTGGGGGTGTACTCCGGGATGCTGAAAATAATAGGTTGAGTTTTTTCTCAAGAGCGACTGGTCCTGGCCCCCCCATCCTAGCTGAGATTCTAGCGATCCAAGAAGGCTTAAACTTGTTTATTAATTCAGAATGGAGGGATAAGGGGAGTCTGATTTTAGAGAGTGATTCATCTACTGCTTTAAAGTGGATAAATAACCCGCAGACTAGTCCGGTTCTCTATGTGGATTTGGTTAGATCTATTCAGAAGACTTTGCTGCAATTCAATGTTATAACTACCCTGGTTAAGAGATGTACTAATGATGAAGCTGATGGTTTAGCAAAATCTGGTATAGGGTAGTGTGTGGAGTCGTTTTTGTTTCAGGCTTTTATGAGTCCTGGTTTTGGGGTTTGTACGGGGACCTATGTATTTTATTTATTCTGTTTTGGTTGTAATCCTATTTCCTGGTAATAAAATTTAGGCGCTCTTTTCCTCCTTCCTATGATTATTGAGTTCTTCGGAGCTCAATGGTTATGAAGGGGGTTTTTAATGAGGTCACCTTCTTATCAAAAAAAAAAAAGGTCGGGATCAGCGGTCAAGGTAGGTTAATTTCAACTTCTGATATTCAATGCGTGTAGTGACAGTAGGCTGTTTGTGAAACTTGTGAGTAATTTTGGGATGCTGGTTCCCGTTAATCCATTATACATGTATTGCAGTACATTATATGGACAATTGTGCTTCATTGTGACCTTATAAATGCAAATATTTTAATTTCATGAAATTGAAACTAGGCCTTTTTCAAATGGCAATTCTGAAGTTCACTCTTCTGAATCTCATACGAGGGGCTGATTATCTTTTCAGGCTCGATCGGTTAGCCATTGATGTCGACACCATCAAAGAAAACAGAGGTCCAGCATTGGTTGCAATTTAATGGAGTTGTAGGGGTAAGTTGTTAATTTAGCTAAGCAGAGTGTAACTGGATACTGTCTATGATGTCAATTTAGCTAGCTGTCATGGTGCTTCTTGGAGACGAAGCAACTATCTATGAACACTAGTGGATGAACTAAGTTTAATCCTTTACCTGATCCTTTCTTTGATCCTTTCTTGGTGTTGTCTTGATTATTAAATTATACAGTATTTAGGGATAAATTTTCGTATTTAATTCGGTTATTACATTTATCACCTATTTTTTTTCTCCTAACATACAAGATACGAGGAAGAGCTACCATATTTTACCATTGAAAATTTGAGATAGTAAATAATAGGGTAAAGTACTCTATTGGTCAGTAATTTGTGAGATCAATTTTATTCTGATCACTTAATATAGTTTTAGGTAAAATACGCATTTAGTACTTAAATTATCATTTTTTATTTGTTTTAGCATCTAAACTTTTATTTTTTTTCAAAATCGCATCTAAGGTTTTGTTTTTATTTTAGTATCCACCATTAAAAATTTAACTTGTTTAGTACCTGAATTATCAGTTTTGATATATTTTGTTTAAAACTTAATCTTAAAATTTGAATGAGTACTAAAATGAAATAAAAATTAATTTTTTTAATGGTAGGGTATTAAAATGAAACAAAAATTAAATTTTAAGTATGTTTTTTAAAAAATTAAAGGTTTATGTACTAGAATATATCAAAATTGATAGTGTAGGTACTAAATTTGTAATTTACCCTATATATATTTAGATTTTAAAAAATAGTTCAAATATATTTGTTATTCATACGAAATTACTTTCTATTATTTGTATGTTAAATGTTAATCTGTTATATAAATTATTTCAATAATGACGCTATATATGAAAATAAGAAATGAAATTAATTATGTATATAAAAGCAATAATATAAAATACAAAAAAATAGAAAATAAATTTATTTATGATTGAAGTATGCTGAAGAACTTTCATGACGATCAACGTGCATTCCAGAATCGATCATACGTATATAGGGCAGCCCCGTAATTTCAAGGTGTCCTAATGGAAACCCACGCGCCTGCCGGCGGGTTGGCCACGAAACGCAATAGGAATATTAAGTCATGTTTTTTCGGATTAAGGTAGCCTAAGACATACTTATAGTAATTATTAGAAAATATTTATTTTTCCGAATTGTATATTAAAATATTTCTTTTAATTTGTAATTAAATTAAAATAAAAATAAATTCAATTATATTATCATTGTATATATCATATGTGATAAATAGTATGTCAATAAAATATTTTTTAAAGTCGGTCAATATATATTTTTATTAATCTGAGACAAGTATAAGATAATATATGTTTAAAGATAATGCACAACCTTTTGATATTAAACACTTACACTCTTGATCTATGATGTTCGAACTCAAATTTTTAGGAATAACAATAATTCATTTACACTCTTAGTTCGTGCAATTCGGTCAATATTTTAACCATCTTACATCTTATATATGTTATAATAGTTTGCATCAATAATTCTTTAAGTAAATAATGCATTTAGTACTTAAACTGTTAGTTTTAGTTTGTTATTACTTCAATTTTGATTTTTTTTTTCAAAATCATATCGAAAATTTAGTTTTAGTTTAGGAATAAACTATCAATTTTGGTCCATTTTAGTATCTAAACTTTTAATTTTTTCAAATTGGACTAAAATTTTGAACGAGATATTAAAATGAAAAAAAATTAAATTTTTTATAGGAGAATACTAAAATGAAAAAAAAAACTAAACTTTAATTATAGTTTTATAAAAATTGAAACTTTAGACATTAAAATTGATAATTTAATTACTAAATGTATAATTTATCCTATAAATTGAGAAAAATGAAGTTTTTATAAATATCTACAAATCTTTGAATCATTTTTTTGATTTTTTTTAAAATTCTTCGCTCAACCATATCCAATTCCAACGGCCAGGAACGCAAGTGGAAGCTTTCCAGCCAAGAAAATGAAGAAGAAACAAAAAGCGTTTCCCTCCTAACGTTCCGCCATGTGTCCAATTTCCGACCAGGAAATCCAACCTCAAGAAAATATCTTCCTAACTATGGGCCCCAGCATAAAAAATATCTAAAATCTAAAGGAAAATCTGAATGGCCCCCCTTGTTCGTCGGCCCTTTAATTTAATCATCATTAAACCACAGCCTCACAAACCCAGAGCACCTGTGAGCCATCAGATATATATTCACGTTTAGCTGACATGGCTGCCTTAGGCCATGCATATCAGACTTTTAGATATTCTTCTTCCCCTGTCCTTCTCATTTGCTCAGGTATTTCCCACCCTTCGATCACGGTTCGTTTTGTCGCCGTCCGATCGATGGCACTCGTTTAGGATATTTTTTTAGCTCAAGTTGTTTAGATTTTTTGCCTTGCTTATCTTGCTTTGCTTTGCTTTGGGCTGGTGTTAGAATTCAGTGGTGAAACATGGGTGGGGTTTTGGTGAGTAGCGAGGAAGTGAAAACGGTGGGCGAGACTGGGAAAGGAAACGGTGAGTCTGGGTTCGAGTTTGAAGCGAATGATGATAAGAGGTTGAAGACGATGAATAGTGGGAATTTTGTTTCTGGGGAAACTGTGAATTGGGGAAGCTTTTTGCCAACAATGGTTTTGAGGGTTTTGTTGGTCGAAGCTGATGACTCCACTAGGCAGATTGTGGCTGCTCTTCTCAGGAAGTGTAATTACAGAGGTTAGCTCTGATGGGTACTTTTTTGTTCTGTTTCTTGAGTTTTTGCTATTGAAAATCATGCCTTTTTCATATGCAGCAATGTGAATTTGATCCATCGTCTTTGTATATCTGATTTGAGCTTGCAGAAAGCTTTTAATGGGTGCTTTAAGCTTTTACAGCCATGGTTTCAGATTACTTAAGCTCAAATAGCTTATATGAATAAACTTATAAACATGCCTTGTTTTGTCCATGAATAAATCGTATAGATTTAGTTAATTGTAGGTGAAATTTCCTTTGGTGTTAGCTATTAAGATCCACGTGCTCAAATTCATTTCATATTGATTCGTGTGACACGAATGTTTTCGACGTGCCATTAGGGCCTTGTTCCATCCTAAAACATGTTGATTTCAGCTCCAACCCTACTTATTGTTTAGAATTAGAATATGTTACATTCGGAACTGAAAACGGCTTTCCTCCCCCTTTTTTGTGCAGTTTCCGCTGTTCCGGATGGCTTGAAGGCGTGGGAGGTTCTGAAAGCGAATCCCCATAACATAGATCTCATCTTGACAGAAGTCGATTTGCCGTCTATATCGGGATTTGCTCTTCTTACACTAATCATGGAGCATGAGATTTGTAAAAGCATCCCTGTTATAAGTATGATATGAAGGATATGCTATAATATTTTCCTAGACATTTTGTACTGTTAAACTAGGATTTTGATGTCTTTGGACATGTTTGTGCAGTGATGTCATCGCAAGATTCGATCAGCACGGTATACAAATGCATGCTGCTAGGGGCTGCTGACTACCTCGTTAAGCCGATAAGGAGAAATGAGCTGAGGAATCTATGGCAGCATGTATGGAGAAGACAATTAGTATGCTTGCTTCTTACACTTCATTTCCCCCTCCATTTTTACGGTTCCTTTGAAGTTTTAATGTGCACTTCACTGATCCTAGTTTTTGTTGTTTTAATTTCAGTCGGTAGCTGGTGGAAGCAGCAACCCCCAGGACGAGAGTGTCGGACAAAAAAAGGTTGAAGCTATGTCTGAAAACAATGCTGCGAGTAACAGTTCCAGCGGTTGCTTGGCTGGTGTCGAAAGGATCAAGGAACAAACTAAGAAAGGAAGTGAAGCTCAGGTCAGTATTCTTCATCTTTCAACTTTATATGGTTATTGTGCCTTTTTAAAACCAGAAAGTAGTTCCGGTAATGTGTGACAGAGCCTTGTAAGTTCGTATATGTATTGACGAGGTCACCCGTGTTTAAAAGGTTTCTCATTCGGTGTTGGCTACACGAAGTTTCTTACGGATTGAATGTTTGATGTTACTTGCAGAGCTCTTGTACAAAGCCAGACATGGAAGCTGAGGGTGCCCACATGGAAAATATGCCGGAATTTTCATGGCAAGAAGCTCAGGCGAATTCCAATCAGAAACTCCTCATGCATGAGAAGAAAAGTGGGGGTAAGACCTAAATTTCGAATTTTATCATCGTCTTCTCAGTTCGGTTTGAAGAGTATCCAACCTTCTCTAAACTTGACCAAATTTGTGAGCAGTTGTTGAACCGGAAAGTCAAAGTGGGGATACTAATATCTTGGACCATGAGGCCAGTGTTGCCCTTGGTGATTCACCAAGAGAAGCTTTTGATTTCATGGGAACACTTTATCGAAATCACAATTCTTCTTCGATAAACAGCGGAAGCAAGTTCGGTTCTTCTACAGACTTGGATCTTTCCCTAAGAAGATGTCATCATAATGCTTTTGACAATCATCTTACTCGAGAAAAGCCTATCCTCTGGCATCCTAATTCATCAGCCTTTACAAGGTTGGTTTTCGTTGCATTTGCCATTTTCGTCTCACGAATTTAGCTCAAAGGCTTTCAAACTAGTAGATGGAATCGAATTTCACTGTTGCATGTGTTATAATCGCTTTTTTTCAGTTGCCAACCATCTCTATGATCTTTAATGCAGGTACTCTAGCAGGCCGTCACGGCCCCCACATTCGACGTTGACGGGTGCCAGTGACCAAAAGAAAGAATCTGGAACTAATTCTGAGAAGATTTTGTCCAATACCGAATATAACACCGATACTCCTGGTCCTACACTAACTTCTCACAGAAACATGAACCGTTCAACTACGGGAACTACTGATAAGTTGAAGCAAACGGAAGTTGCAGAATCATGCACGCAACGGGTCCCAGTACCATTGAAGCGTGCAAGATTGAATAACACGTGCGACGGCTATAATTCCATAATTCCTCCAGTACTTTGTGCACAGACAAGTTCATCCCTAGTTCCAAGTCCAAGCTCAGCCAACCAACAAGATCCTGCCTGTCTTGGGAATCCATTTCGTCATCCCAGTTTCGAAACGAACCAGTCAACCAACCAACCTTCGGAGAAGCCGGACCAAAGGTTGGAATCAGCCAAGGATAGAGAACACGTTTCCCCTATCGCGGACCAGAGTGCAAGTGCAGCCGGCAGTTTCTGTAATGGCTCCTTAAATCAACTTGATAGTATTGCATACGGAAGCAATCCCGCAAGTAATGGCAATCTGGAGCAGATTGCCGTTGTCCAAGCTTCTACGGAGAGCAAGAACGATGACGGGTTTCCCAATCCGGTTGGAAATTTACATCGTCTCCTCCAACGAGAGGCTGCTCTAAACAAGTTCCGTTTGAAGCGGAAAGATAGATGCTTTGAAAAAAAGGTACAGAATTATCATAAGTTGCCATCTTATGTTGCATGGCATGAAAGTAGTAGCATCTTAGAAACAGCAAATTTTTTTTACAGGTCCGATACGAGAGCCGGAAGAAACTCGCAGAGCAGCGTCCAAGGGTTAAAGGCCAGTTCGTCCGTCAACCGCAGACCAATCAGTCACATACGCAAGCCGGTTCTCGTCATGGCAATTCATCCGATGGTTAAGTTACGACTTTGTATTATACTAAGATCAGAACATGAAATCGACTTTACTTTGGATCTTTAGTGTAACATAATATTTTTGGGCAAAAAACACTTCCAAGTCACTCAATTATTAGTTTAGTTACAAACGAGTCACTTTTTTTCCTGAAAGTTATAATTTACTCACTCAATTAAAAAAGTATTATAATCAAGTCACTATTTTTGAACATGTTTTGGATAACTCGACTCACAAATTTCAACCCTCTCATGGTAAGGGCTTGAAAAGACTCAAATCAATAGTTATGGGGTCAGGCAGCTTTCTATTTGGTTGAATTTAAGGGCTCAACAAGACGTGAAAAAAGTTGAACCTTTTTAAAGAAAAAGAAAAACCTTTTATTTTTCTCTAAGTTCAAACGTCTAAGAAAGCCCACCCAGACTGTAATATTATTTAAGAAATATTCTAATTAAGGGGTCCCATATTAGTAATTTAATTTATTAAATCAGTATGAGCTAAATGATTTCGATGATAAAATACTTATTGTTATTATTTAAGATATCGAATTTGAGTATTGAAAATACCAGAGGAATATACGTATGATTATGCCGAATAGGAAAGCTTTAGAATATAAAAGAAAATATATATTTCGGTGTTGTTTGTTTTTACAGAGGTAAAATGTCTGCAGTATGAGGACTACATTTGCAGGCATCTGCAGCAGAAGAGGTGGACCAAAAGTCTGCAGTCTGCAAGAAGAAGACTGTTTATTTTTTAACGTCTGCAGACTGCTAAAATAAACTGAAATATAAAATAAAATGATTTTTTAAACTTAAAAGAGTTTTGTAATACTGAAATTTAAATAATTTTAGTTGTATAATACTGAAATTTAAATAATCCATACAACTACAATAATAAATTTTTTAAAATAAATCAATCCATATTTTGCATTAATTGCTCAACAATTTCATCTCGTAACTGAGTCAATCGGGTTTTTTTAGGCGATGGTTTTTGTTTTTAATGTTCTTTGAAGGGGTTGAAAGAGTTTTGAAGACACAAGGTCACGTCTACGTCAAGAAGAGGAAGCGTAGACGTTTTCAGAACTACTGTCTTCTAAAAAACAAACGGTCTGCGAAGTCCAATATCTATGTGTGGTCTACACAAAACAAATATAAGAGCTTTGAATACTTTTTAAAAAAAAAAACAAACCGCACCTTACCCTCTCAATGATCATTGTTTGTATATACTAAGACATATCTTTATTGTAAATAAAGTACAAAACTTGTGATTCAAGCTAGTTGCATGGTACTTTGAAATTGCATATTCATGATTTCATAGGATGGAGCTCTATAGCTTGATTGGGACCCATGATTTGGGATTTTTATGAAATAGAGGGACTAATTTTAAAATTAGACAAACACATTTAATTGTTGTCTTGTTTTCGAGATAATGTCCTTAAAGTATGACTCTCATTTTAAATTGGTCTCTAAACTTTTAAATATCTCAAATTTTATTCCTAAACTATAACTATCACTTTAAATTAGACCTCAAACTTTTGAACATTTTGATTTCATCCCTAAATTATATCTCTCTTTCTAAATTGATCCCAAAATTTTTGAACATTATAATTTCATCCAAATTCATTCAAATATATAATTGGTTTCAACTATAGTTTAACCTAAATTTTGTTTTTTTTTTCTTCAAATATATGATCATATAACTTGGTATAACGATTTCATTAACAATGGATGTGATTAGTATATACACATAGTTTGGGATGAAATTGGAATGTTCAAAAAGTTTGGAGACTAATTTAGAAAGCGGGTCATAGTATGGGGATAAAATTGAAATGTTCAAAAGTTTGAGGACTAATTTAAAATGATAGTCATAGTTTAGGATACATTTAGAACATTTAAAAATTTAATGACCTATTTAAAATGAAGGTCCTACTTTAAAGACATACGGTGCAATTAACTCTACTATTCTTCTGGTTCTCTCTTTATTATACACTGTCTAAACTATATCTTATATTGACTTTTGGTGTCTAGAGATTTTTTTTTTGTTAAAAATAGGTGTCTAATGTTTTCTCTATATATTTTTAGGTACATGCCGTTAAAAAGACCGTTAAGTGACACATGTCACATTTACATTTTTTTATTCTCTTAAAAGTAAAATATTTAAAAAAAAATCTAAACGTGACATGTGTCACTTAACGATTTTCTTTAACAGAGAGCTTCTAAAAATGCAACAGAAAAAATATTAAGTACTTAATTTTAATGAAAAATTCTTTAGACACCACAAATCAACTTGAGAAATAATTTACGCACCTAAATATTGTATTAAACCTTCTTTATTTAAGACCATCGGCTACCATGTTTCTCAACCCCTGCAAGAAAACCAGCTTCCTCGTCTCTCTTGTCTTTCGCAAATGTCTCAAATTCTCTCTAAATACCCCAAACACTGCGCCGAAAAGCAAGCTTTAACCATCCACGAGAAACTATTCTTCTCCATCTCTTCGTTTTTCACCATCCTTTTAGCCTTCATCTTCCTCGTTTGGCTCACTCTCCATGCTTCCAAACCACACTTCTCCCTCCCTCGGCTCGACATCTACCAACTCAACCTCACTCGCCCTTCTCTCCTCATCTCGTCCATCCCTTATGAATCTTTACGGGTTTCGGTTAATCCCTGTTCCAAAAAATAAACAAATATTTTTTAAATTAATACAATACCTAAAACTTATAAGATATATCAGATTATTTCAAATTGGTCTCAATCTATGATATGAAAGTTTCAAACGTTAATATTCATCTAACACTCAATGTATATGTACAATCTTAACCATTTTCAATCTCAACAAATCAATATATATTAAATGATAAAAGATCTAAACTTCAATTTTAGTTCCTTTGAGATGCAACAGTAACAACACATAGTCTCACAAATATTTTTGATGGTCCCCACGATTATTTTTGTAAAATATCGGGGATCCCTACAATTATTTTTTGGGGATCCTCACGGTTATTCACACGGGTACAGTTCAGTTATCCTTACGGTTTAGATATAGCAATCTCTGTCCCCATCCCCATTTGAGCTTCAGGGATAAACTTCCCTCATACCCATCCACATGGGTAAAGATTTTGGTTATTCCCTATCCCGTCAATTCGGATTCCCACAATTTTCGATTTTTTCCCACCCGATTGCAACCCAACGTATAAGAAATGATTGATTTTTTTTGTCTAATACCTTATTGTGTAGTACGCTGATGAATCTCGATTATATTTAGGGTAAGATTTATGTGATTTGCTAGAGTTTTTTTTAATGACAGAAAGTCGCTAGTTTTATTAAAAGCATAAAATATCTAGAATTACAATGAAGATTTACAAGTATATCTGTAAGCGTAAACTATATTATAATTATGATATTTTTCTATAGCTATTGATATAAAAACTAGTCACCTAGATCACACAACGACCAAAGAAATAAAAGGTTAAAAAAATCTAACCAAAATACTCGAATAAAATAAAGATACGAACAAATCTGGTTGTATCGACAAACGGACCACAAAAGAGGATGAAGCTATTGAAAGACCATCGACAAATCGCAAATCAAAGCTAAGCGACGTGAGAAAACTATCCACGAACACAAAATGCGTATCCAAATATATTCAAGGGTCCAATGCAAGGAAAATATCATGATAACAAATAAGCGTCATCTTATTCAGTCATGACAATGTCAAATTCATCCCTGAAAAAAATGATAAACGAAAACAACTAAAAAATCAAAAACTGACAAAAAACAGAGATAAATGTGCCACAAAGACAGAGATAAATGTACTATAAAAACATAATTTTTTATAAAAAAAATAAAAAAAGAGAAATACAACCAACGATCGGTAACTAGTATCAAAACTGATACCGACGATCGATAACCAATATCAAAATTAATACCGCTGTCGGTTAACAAAAAAATATAGATTTGATCTATAGAAAATAACACAAATTACAAAGAAAAGAAGAGAAAGGGGGGAGGGAGATAGAGCTTGTGATTTACTAGAATTAAATATACTAAAAATGGTTTTTAAAAAAATGAAAGTTTTGATATTAAAACGGATCAAAATTGATAGTTTAGATGTTAAACTCGTATTTTACCCTTTTTAATTTCAGCAGATAGAATTAGATTTTTTATTGGAAAGTACAGGGGTGGGAGATAGAATTAGACCTTTTAATTTCAGTAGATACTAAGATCTGTACAGTTTCAAAAGCCCAATGAATTTTAATCAGATTTTCCCGTTTAGATTCACAGGAAAATCGAAGCTCAAACCCAAATCAATGTCGGCCTCCATTGTTCACGAAGCTATTTTAAATTTTGGGGGGAATCCGAAATCAGCTGTTATCTTTCAAATTATATGCTCAAGAAAGAAAGAGATTCAGAATCGTTTCACAAAGGGTTTTGATCGACACTGAAACAGCACAAGGATTTAATGCCGAAGCGAAGAAAATCAAGCAAAAGGGTAGCACCGAAGGCGGAGGAGGCGGTGACCGTACTTTCATCGGAGAAGAAAGATACGCCCATAAAGAAACCGACGCACGCAAAGAAAGGGGAGAACAAGGACGATCCGCTGGATGAGAGTCCTTTGAGATCTATTTTTTGTTTGAAAAAGATCGTCGATATGAAGCGCATTGAGGAGACTGAAGATTGCTTTATTCTTGATTTTAACCATTCCAATCCCGTTGACGTTGCCAAGCTCTCCGCCGCCAACGACGGCGATGTTGATGAAGAACTCTCCGTGGTCGCCGAGCGTGGCCAGGTTTTTGTTATTTAAACTCTATTTTTTTGCTAATATGTTTGCTTTGGAAATTCACTCTTTTGAAGGAATTAAAAAGTAAAACTTGCTTGGAACTGGACGAAAGGCTTCAGAATTAGCTTAGTTTAGCTCTCTGGGCATTGTTATTTTCCCGGAAAATTGACACTGAAGGATTATTCAATGATTATTCAATGATCATTCAAACAATTGTAAAGACAATGAATTGAACAAAAACTTCAATGTTAGCTTAATTTAGTTCTCTGGGTATTATTATTTTCCCGGAAAATTGACACTGAAGGATTATTCAATGATCATTCAAATAATTGTAAAGACAATGAATTGAACAAAAACTTCAATGTTAGCTTAATTTAGTTCTCTGGGTATTATTATTTTCCCGGAAAATTGACACTGAAGGATTATTCAATGATCATTCAACTCATTGTCAAGGCAATGAATTGAACAAAAACTTCATTGTTACTTTAATTTAGTTCTCTGGGTATTGTTAGTTTCCCGGAAAATTGGCACTGAAGGATTGTTCAATGATCATTCAAACAATTGTAAAGACAATGAATTGAACAAAAACTTCAATGTTAATTTGATTTAGTTATCTGGGTATTTTTATTTTCAATTGACACTGAGGATTATTCAATTCATTGTAAAGACAATGAATTGAACAAAAACTTCGAATTTAGTTTAATTTAGTTCTCTGGGCAGTATTATCTTCCTGGAAAATTGACTCCTTTTAAACTTCTTATGTTCCAAAAAGCAATGATCTTTAGTGTTTTTTGTTATTCTAATTCTGTTCTTGATGTTGCTTTAGGTGGCTTGCAGAGATTATCCACATTCAAGGCATCTTTGCCTGCAATTTCCATTCCGTACTACACCTCATGACAGACACTGTGATCTGGTATGGGAAGAGATATTCTTTTACTTTAATGGCGGATTAGCTTCTGTGATCATTGGGATTTCTGATTAGAAGGAAATTGTAATGAATTCGGTTTGGATTTGATGCAGTGCTACTGTTATGTTTGCGATTCGGCTGCCCCTTGTGAGTGTTGGACGACACATTGCCATGCGACTGAGCATCTGGCGGAGTGGCAATCTCAAAGGCTTGTGATGATTCGGAAGGTTCGGCCCAGAACGCTGTGAGTAAACTCTCTGGAAAATCCAATCTGAAACTCTTGCTTAGAGTTGGGTTTCTGCCTCTGTAGTCCGGAATGACTGCCCTTAAAACAGGGGTTTTGCCTGTTTAGACCGGTGTCTTTGTGGTAATGGTTAGAAATAAGTAAAATTCGATTTGATGTGATTCGATTTCGTTACAAAAAAACAATTCATTTGAGTCGATTCAGTTTTATTCGGATTTCAATTTCAAGTCGAGTTCGAATAACAGGAAAAATTAAAATTAAAATGATGTTGTTTTGATCTTTAATTGAGTCATTTTGATCGAGTCAAGTTAGAAAGCTTTGAATTAGTCGAGTTAATGAATTATATTTTATTAATTTTAGGGTAAACTATGTGTTTGTACATAAATTATCAGTTTTTGTCCGTTTAGTGCTTAAACTTTCAATTTTTTAAAAACCATATTTAATATTTAGTTTTTTTTTCATTTCAGTATCCTACTGGTAAAAGGTTCTTTTATTAATACATAAACTTTTATTTTTTTTAAATTTAACGTTAAATTTTGAATTGGATATTAAAATAAAACAAAAACTAAAGTTTTTAACAGTGAGATATTAAAATGAAACAAAAACTAAACTTATGGTATGATTTTGAAAAAAATTGAAAATTTAGATTTTTAAAACGGATCAAACTTGATAGTTTAGGTACTAAACGAATAATTTACCCTTAATTTTATTTAAAAACTGAAACATTTAAAAGTTTAAGGACCAATTTAAAATGAATGTCCTATTTTGAAGACACGATGCAATTAACTATGTTTTTTTCCTTTAGGTTCTCTCCCGGGTAAATAACGCATTTATTACTTAAACTATCGTTTTGATCGTTTTAGTACCTAAACTATTAATTTTAGTTTGTTTTAGTACCTAAACTTTCAAAAAATTTAAAACTATACCTAAAGTTTAGTTTTTATTTAATTTTAATATCTCATCGTTAAAACCTTAATACATTTAGTACTTAAACTATTAGTTTTTGTTCATTTTAGTATCTAAACTTTCAATTGTTTTTTTAAAATTTAACGTTAAAATTTGAACATGAGTATTAAAATGAAACAAAATTTGAAATATAGGTATGATTTTAAAAAAATTAAAAGTTTAGGTACTAAAATGAATTAAAACTGATAATATAAGTACTAAATGTGTGATTTACCTTTCAAGTTAAATTGATATTTCAAATCAAATCAAATTTTGATATCCGTATTTTGGTATTCACTTGTTCCTCGAATACCAAGCAAACAAACAAAATAAGAATTGACTAAAATAATAATTAAAATTGGGGTTAATTACAGTGATGATCACTTATGTTTGTGTTTTATCTGCTTTTGGTCACTGATCTAAAAACACATAAGATATGATCACTTTCATTTGTCACTTTCATTTTTATTTAATTAAGATATGATCACTCCAAATTAATTGGCGTTAACAACAGTTAAATATTTTGATATAATCACACATTTGGTTCCTGTTATTTACATATTCTTCTAATTTAGTCATACTTTTAATAAATTAAAATAAGTTTAATCCTCCAATCAAATGATGCCACATGTAATGCCATGTGACCATGTTAAATATTTTAGTATAATCACACATTTGGTCTCTGATTTTTTACATATTCTCTCAATGCATCCATATTTTAATAAATTAAAATAATTTTAATCATTCAATCGAATAAAATATATTTAATAATTTAAATATATATTTTGCTGTTAAAATATTTTGAAGTGAAGGTAAGAATAAATTATATTTAATAATTTAAAGTAATAATAAAATATATTTAGAAAATTAAGATAAAATATATACTTTAAAAAGTTAAAATAATAGTAAAATATATTTCTTAAAAAGTTTAAATTAAGTTCAAATATATTTTATTTAATTAGAGGATTACATTTATTTTAATTTATTAAAAATAGGACTAAAATGAGAGAATATATAAATAATAGAGACTAAATGTTTGATTATACCAACTATCACGTCACATATTATGTTAATTGTTAAGCGCAGTTAACCCGTGATGACCACATCTTGATTAAATAAAAACGAAAGCGACTATATCTCATGTTTATTTTTTGAAATCAGTGACCAAAAGTGGATAAAATTACTAACCACACAGTCATCCCACCCCTGATTCTCTCTAGCCAATCTACACAACCGCACGATCCAGTCCCAGCATAATTTCTCTAAAAATGTGGTCCGATAAGGATTTGTTTGACACAAATTACGACCCCATTCGACACTTTCCAACCCTTAATAAGCTACCCATACTTCACTTGAGCAATGACCAATGACCTACTTAATTGACGCATAACCCACCTCCTGGTGCATATCACCGACCTGCACTCGTGCTATGCAATGCTAGTTAGGGGCCGATAAAGCATAGTTCTAAAGCAATAATTGGAAACATTCAACACAATCGACCTGAACTAGAGCGAAAGCATCCACACTCTTGAATCGAATCCAACCGATCAGGATCCTCGAAAAGATTCAGCAGCAGCCCAGGAAAAGTTGAGACATGAACCGCCTTCAAATAACATACCAGAAAAGCAAAAATTTTCAGCTTGATGAATTTGGTTTCCTTCCACTTTCTAGGCAAGCAAACAAATAAAATAAGAAGAATCGACTAAAAAATCATCCAATTATTGGTTTTAAACAGCATTTTAAGTGAAGGAAACCTAACATCAAAATAAATGAAAAGCTTGATCGTAAGAAATAATAATGTGAAGCAACTCTCAAATACTATTTCGATCAATAGAAATACTCCTCCATCGACACATATTCCCAGTCCGAAGATTCGTCGGAAAGTCGATCCCAGTCGCTGGTAATCCCAGAAGAGTTTAGAGATGACTGGTCTGATATCGAGCGATCATTTAATTCAGCTGTCAATTTATCATTATCAGGCTCGGAACTCCCAAAAGAGTCTGTGATGCCTTGCAGGAAATCCTCAATGCTCAACTGTTCTTCGAATTTCTTGGATAACAAGTCTTGGGAAGATTGGTCTGATATTGAGCTATCATTTAATCCAGTTGCCGATTCATAAACATCATCTAGCTCGGAACTCGAGTCTCCTTCGGCATCTATTGTACCAACAGGATTCTGGTTACAAACAGCAAAAAATTTGAAACTCGATTTTTCATCCTTGTCCAATGCATCTTCTGGCTTTTGACTCGAAATCTCAATAGCTTCTACTTGCATACATCCCATATTTATACCCTGCAAAAAAAAGAACACTTAAACTCTGCAATTAACAGAAAGTACAATAGCAAAAAAACAAAATTTAACATCTACGATAATCATACCTGACGAAGCTCGTCGAACAATTCTTGTTCAAAATTCATCGACGTGCAGATATCGATATTATTGCGTACTTTTTCAAGTGATCTGAGATCTTGTTTACTCAATTCGCATGTCCCATTAGAGCAATAACACAAAATCAATCTCGACAGGTTATACATTCCATCTATTAGGGTGCTGATACTGCGATTTTGACGATCTTTGCAATTCGAATCGTTAATTGTTTCGGATTTCTTTACAAGCTGATGCACAGAATGAGGCTCAAAACTCTCTAAAAATCTATCCCTTGCAATGAACGAATCAAGAGAGTCGAGTGCCTTCTTGACCTCATCTGGACTAACATCAGCAAAACTAATTCCGGATTTCGGCCTGAACATATTTTTGGGAGCGTCATCCAATACTAAACTCGCAAGAGGTACATGAAAATCGGTTTTATCATGTGTCTTCGATCTTTTTAGTGAAAAAGGTCCTGCAATTCGAGATAAAACGATACAACAATTCACTTAGAGAAAATGTCCAGCATTCATATGAATCTGGTAGTAAAAAGCAATGAAATTACCGGTGTGAATAGAGGATGAAGGTAAACTCCGATCCTCATCGAGCTGAACTAAATTGGTTCTCTCCGGTTCCCACAAGCCGCCATTACAATATGGAGCCACATATTTCAGGCCGGATGAACTCTCATTGAAATTTGGCAGATGAAGGCGAGAGGAAATTGAGTCCAAGTCCAAGTTCATCCCAGAGGATTGATAATGTCGTTCGACTGCTTCGAACCAGTTTAAAGATTCAACGGAATCAACAGGTGGATTCGCCGGCGGAGCTAAAAACGATAACTTTGAAAACTCTACACCGGAAAAATTCCCACCGTTAAACTCGAATCCCATAATCTTGGCTTATCTGAAAACATAAACCGAAATCCGAAAATCCAAACAAAAAAGTTCAGTCTTGAAAGAACATAATGAAGTCCAAAAAATCCATTGCAATCATCTGGCATTATTGATCTTATCGACCGACACGAAAAACAAACAGCGAAAACCCACTTTTAAGAATCAAGAATCGAACAACCTCACCAATTCAACATCATCATAGTCAAAAAGCAAAATATAAATCTTAAAAGAATCAAAATTTACATAAATATAACAGAAACAAACCTTGAATGAGTGAAAGCTCTAAAACTTTCTCCGAGTAAAAGCTTCAAATATAAAGAAGATTGCAGGTGTTCGTTTAATCGCAGAACTATAAATTTAATAGTGAAGTTTGTATTAGTTACTAATGATAATCTTGTTTTCAAGATTAAAAAAAAGGAAATAATAATTAATATCTGATCGTATCATCTATTGATTTAAGATTTATTAATCGTTTTATCAAAATATATTTAAAAGAAGTTATGATATCATAATCTTTAAAAAAATATAGATTTAAGATTTGTTAATATTTTAAATTAATATTTGATCAAATCTATTCAAAAGATTTGCTAGTCTTTTAAAATATATATAATATTTTAAAAGAAGTTATATTTTTTAATTAATAATAAAAATATCAGTAAAAATGAAAAAAATTTAAATATTCATGAAAAATATATTTAATTAAATTTATAGTTAAAATTTAATCAATCAAAAGTTTATTAGCTATTATTATTCAGAAACCAATTGAGAGTTTTTTTAGAATGGAATTAGTCTTTTTCTAATTAAATATAATTTTAAAATATATAATAGTATTTTAAAAATTATTACCCATAAAAAAATAAAATCGATATACCAGTCTAAAGTTTATTTAAAACCGACCATCAAGTTAGTTTAGCTAAATCTAATTGATTTAAGTAATTTATCATAAATACATTATATTTTTTAAAAAATTACATATCATTTTTATTATAAATTTCTGTTTACCGAGACTTGATTAAATTGATTTTAGTATTTTTTATAAGGGTAAAATACACCAACAGTCCCTCAACTATAGGGTGATACTTTGTTGAGTCCCACAACTATTAAAAATTATAAAATAGTCAACTTACTATCCATATGTTTTAAACTCGTCATTCTATATTAAAAAATTTATTGTAACCTGAGCTGAATGTTAACGTGTTGGCTGAGATATTATAAAATATAATCTCAAAAGATACCAAATCCCATTCAGCATGTTAACGTTCAGCTTAGACGATCGTCAATTTTCAACAGAAAATGATGAGTTTGAAACATATGAATACTCATGTGACCATTTTATAAATTTTAATAGTTGAGGGACTCAATAAAACTACACCATATAGTTGGAGAACCATTTTATAATTTTTAATAATCGATAAACTTAACATAATATTATCTTATAATCAGATAACCATTTGTGTTGTTTATCATATTTTAAATCAAATCGATCGATTGTACATTAAACATTTCATATGATTAATAATTTAATAACCAAAATTTAATATAAAGAGATCATCAAAGTACGAACCATTCAATGTGCTAACCAAAGCAATAGGCAAGATTAACATCATAGCAACAACTTGAGACATGATAACACCGAATGGCTTCCGCCATCAACGAGCCGAAAGGCTCGTTAACCGTCGATATCGAACCACTTCCGAACCGGAATCTCGCCCTTTAACCTCGAAACATTGTTTATGCTCGACTCGGAAATGGATATCTTCCCGGATTCATCCATTATGCCATGAGCAGCATTGTCACCAACGGTGATTTCATGTTCCTCGGCTTTTACATCCCGGAAAAGACGACTTTGTTAATGTCCGAATGCAGGACTCGACAATGGCTTAACACTATCAACGTTCGCCAATTTCTCACCTTCGTAACAATGGGTCTCGAACTATCTTTCTTCTCTTTATAGCAAGGTTATTGGACTTGATGTTCGCAGAGTTCTCGATGTTTGGTTGACATAGAAGATCATAAGACTGAATCTTGGTTTCGGTGATAGGCGCATTATTGATATCGCATATTGTGTTCAGAACTCGACAATGCACGCATATCTTATAGACCATCAACTCGAAATCATGATCTTTTTTATCATTTAAACAGAAAATTATGAATGATTGTGATCAAATTATCTAATCTCGATTCGTTTCGTATTGGCGTAAAAAAAATTATAAGATGAGAAAAGTAAAATGATCAGTTTCGTATTGGCATAACAAAAATTATATGTTGAGAAAAGTAAAATGATCAGTGGCATAGCTACAATTTGGTGAGAGTCGAAACGTGTACATCCTGGAATTCGAATTTTATTCGATTAGTTATTTATTTTACATCGATAATATCACCTTAAAATTTTATTTATACTTATCTCGTGTGTCCAATCTAAAAAAATATTTCAGGATTATTAAGGAATTAAGAGAAAGAAGGAAAAATCTTATAAATTTTAACTGAATCAATGGTGACTATGTAAGCTGGGGATTCGAGAAAGAAAATCGATGGTTCTTGTTTAGAATTGAAAACACACACGAAAAAAGAAAGAGAAATCTCAGATTAGGCCAAAGAAAACAGAGAAGCCTAACACAATGAGCCAAACTATATGCAACAAAAGTAAAGCCTGACCGGAGAAAGATCCAGGCCCGCCGTTATTCCCCAAGTTACAGAACCCCATCTTGGCGACCTTCGCCCCCGAGCAATGCGCGTCGGCGCATCCGCACCAATACGTCACGCCGTCGTCGCCGCAAACGGGATCCGTCCTGAAGCAGTTAACCGGGCACGAATAACGACGAGCAGAAGGCGAGACGCCGCACGCGTCCGCTCCATCGGACGGCAACAAGATTCCGGTGAAATTCCGTCGCGATCCGACGGAAAAAGAAGAAGAATAAGAAGACGAAGACGATGAAGAGAAAGGAACAACGACTACCAGCAACAACAACAACAGGGACAACGCGGATTCATGGAACTGGATCGAAAACAAGGTCACCATCTTTCTTTTCTGTTCCGAAAATTAACAAAACAAAGCGAGCTTTCCTTTTCCTTTTTTTTTCAAAATTAAAAAAGGAAAGCTCGCGTGATGTTCCTTTCTTCTTTATGTTTTTTTCTCAGGAAAGCTGAGATTCCATGAAAATGTTTTGATTTTCCAGGCTTAAATCATTGCCCCGAAAGCAACGGATTCTTACCTTTAGAGACGATTATTCAAAGGAACGTCAATGGAGGAGGAAACTCTCTCACTATATAAAGGGAATCAATCAAATCTTTGTCGTCAAAACAATTCATTAACCGATAATACCATTTTGAAGAAAAATTAAAACTGATTAAATCTGGTTTAATGGCTAGAAATTAAGATCAATTAATTTAGAATGATTTCATGTTCGGTTGGAAATCAAACTTTTTCTTCTGTTCTTAGCTGTTCGATTACAAATTACAGGTATTACGATCAAATTATTGCTTAGATCTTTAAGTTTAATTTTATCACGCCACGTGGAAATTTCTTTAAAAAGACCAAATCAAAATGTCGGGGAATGTTTTTACTTTTTTCGGATAAACTTTTTTGTCAGACCCTTTATCATAAACATTATATTAATTTAGTCCCTATAATGTTAAAATATTAATTTTAGGGTAAACTACTCCAAATACCATTCACCTTTAGGCGTTGACTCAAAAATGCCACTAAGGTTTTAATTTTACCAATTTAAGCACTGACGTTTATGATTTACTCCAATGTAGCCACCCCGTCGTTAATCCGTTAACGGATCACTGCATGGCATGGACATACCGTAACGGCGATGACATGGACGAGTTAGTTAAAACGATTTAATCCAAGTAGGATCCTTGTTGGTATTTCAAGTATAATTTATCTGATATAAAACCCTAATTCCCAAAATTAGTTGTCTCATTCTCTTCTCTCATCAAAGATAGAAAACCTAGGTCGCTTAGGGGAAGTTTGACGGTTGAAGAAGCATAAGAAGACTGTGGAATGGAGCAACTCGTTGCATATCCGGTCTGTGGGTGTGGATATCTTGCTCAATTGAGGACGTCATGGTCCAATGATAATCTGGGAAGGAGGTTTTTTGGATGCAAAAATTATGGGAGTTTGATTCAACCAGCTTATCGATTTTTCTGCTGGTTTGATCCTCTAATGACTTCACGAGCACATGTTGTTCTTGTGGGATTGTTGAAGAAAATCAAAGCAAATGAAATTAGAAGAATGAATGAGAGAATTGCTTGGATTGTGTTTTTTGTTTTCTAGTTTGTATTGGTATGGTACATAAACCATTGATGTTACAACAATTATGAAGAAATTGGTGACTGAAATTTATGGATTGTACTTTTGGTTTAGGGATTGAGATAAAAAAATTAAGGGTGAAATTTTGAGGACTAATGGTTGGATTTGGCTTAGGGTTTAGATGACTTTGTAATTTTGTGTGTGAATGATAATTGATGTAAAATGCCACCCTTTAATTTATGTTAAATTGACAAATTTATATATATTTTTGTACTTGGAAAACATATAATGAATGTAAAATGGCACCGTGAATGATAGACAAAATGATTCACTTAAATAGAGTTGTGATTGATAATAAACACGTGTGTACAAAGACTGGGTGTGCACATAATCATTTAAGTTGGAACACTTTCAACCTATAAAACCCACCAAAATATCAAAAATCAATAAACATGTGTTCAAATGATCATAGTTCATCAACTTAAATATTGAACCCAAAATATCTAAGTTCTCAAACTATATCAACCTACACCATCCTTTGTCGTTTTGTAAAAACATTGGGATAGTTTTCCTGGAAAGTCTGGGTAATAGTGCTTGACTGGCTTAAATGCTGGTTGGCAGTGACATCTTCTTGATGGTTGGTTGGATATGATGAGTGGCCTGGAGTAGGGAAAAAGAAAAATGGATTTGATGAGGTTGCAACCCTTGATGATGTTATGGTCGTAGTAGTTCTTCTCCTAACCTATATTCACACGTGTATAAAATTGAGAAACATAATTCTAATATAAGTTTAAATTAACAAAAGAAAATTAGAAACTTATACACGTAGTTTTGTCTTGCTTTGGCTAGATTGTACCCTTGTTTGTTTGGTATGTCTTTATATGTTGAAATGAGATCACCTAGGTGACATGTTGCCTCTAATTATCCCTTTTCAGGTCTTTAGTTGTGTCCTGGTTGACCATAGTTGGAGCAGTACATTATCAGACATTTCTTGGTAATAGTAGCTTGGGACCTTGATGTTTCATATGCTTCATTTCTCCTATTTTTCTTTGGTCTTCCCAATGGCCTTCTAATTGTTGGTGTTATAACTGGCTCATAAGTTGTGTCAGTTAACCATTGATTAGACCTTCTCATAGGTTCAATGAAGTGATTATAAATGTCCTGATGTGTGGTTATTAAATAGCAGTTATGCACATAAGCTTCAGGCTTCTGATTATTGAACATCATTACAGAAACAACATGTATGCATGGGATTCCTATAAATGAAATCAATAAAAGTGATTAAATTAACAAAGACAAATGATAATAAAAATGGAACATAAACTACAAATGTTACATACCAGTGAGATCCCACTTTTTACATGAGCATGAATGATTTTCCAAATCAACAATATGTCTGGTCCACAAGACACTTGGTACTTTTGTCCTTCAGCATGGGTAGGACAACAAATACAAACAACAAATGATGAAGTTATTTGGTCAAACAACAATAAATTTGAAATAAATGAATAAACAGTACCTAGTAGACTGTTGAATTGCAAGTTCAGTTTTTGCAAGTTCAATAACACTCCGAGTTATTGCAAGACGGTCGACACACCGTTACCTTCTCTCCATATGTGTCTAACTTCTGTTATTCATCCTTCTTCTCTTAGTGCGTTGCAATCCCTAAATAATATTTCTTGTTGTAGGTCATCCGAGTTATCCCCATTTTGGGCATCTATGGCCCCTTTCATGTCGACTTCCACAATCAAATTTCTCGCCTCCAGAGATTTGGCGATAATGAGTCCTTGTTTGATGCCCCAAATATTGGCCATGAGACTGTTGATTTTGCTTATGTTTAGCATGAATCTAGATACCTAGTCTCCTTTGTCGTCCCTGATGAGCCCCCGATGCCAGGGATGGATCAAGATAGGTACTAGGGTGCGGTGGTACTTTTAGAAATTTTAAGTTTTTTTTTATATTTTCGCATTCTCTATAATTTTAATACACTCCTAAAATTTTTAATATAATTTATTAAGTTCATAACTTTAAACTAAATTTTTACATCCGTCCCTGCCCGTGGCTAAGGTCCCCGTAAAGTGGTTGCATGCTCCATCGGTGTTGAGGATCCAACAACCCTTAGGAGGCTTAGTCCATTTCACCCATCGTGGATCCTTGGTAACGCCTTTCTTGTCCATTTACTTGGCTTTATTTATGTCTGTAGCAAGCTTGTGACCATATTAAATAATATGGTTTAGGTTCCTGATTTTGTTCTTGATAGTAGATTCGTTTCTTTCTTTTCAATGCCCCAAATCGTAGTTGCGAAAATCGTTCCCCATGTCGTTCCTTCATTGCACGTCCTTTTCGAACTGCAGTTTATCTTTATCCACTTTTCGAGTATATTCGGATCTGTAGGAGTGAACTTATGACGACGATCGATCTCTTCCCAGAATAACTTAGCTATCCTGCATCTTCGAAGAATATGTTCCATGGATTCTGTCTCATAATCGGTTTATTTTGATGATCGGATTTTTCCTCTAATAATTTGAACGATGAGGTTCATCTTGAGATAAGAGGAGTGTTAGGTTAAAATTTTACAATGATACGATAGTGAATGACATAAATCATGTTTAATAAGATCGAACATTAAAGAAATTTCTATTTCATAGTTTTTCTTAGAAATCAAAACTATGAGATAGAAAGAGAAGAAGGATGTGATCGTTTGTGTGGTCCTTGTCAAGTTATGGCCTAAACCAGCACGAGTTTCATTATCTTGATATAACAAACCAGCACGATCCCTCACCGGCCATTGTCTCGGTGTGGTTCGGGACCTTGCCTTGGCCCTTGCAGACTCTGTTGCAGACATGTAATTTGGAACAGTTGCCAACCTCGGAGTACTGTTTGCTGCTAAACGTAATTGCAGAGACTTGTCTTGCAGATATCTAGATTCACACAATGCCGCATTGGATCCGTTGCACATTTCATATGAAAGCCTTGCTCGGTGTCGATGGAACACTCGATCCTGTGCTCAAACCGAAACCTGCATACGTTTTGGTGCCATCTTTGCACTCCTTACATTGTATCCTCCCACTAAAGCTTGAAGCTTCACTATCCCCTTCAAATCATGCAATGCTCTCCTTGCCTTGGCAAAAAGAGAGAGAGAGAGAGAGAGAGAAATAGTAACAACTACGTAATTCGAAGGTCTGCAAGTAAGCTGAGCAGACCCCATCGTGTTACCAGCAGCAAATACGGAGCAGGGATTAGATTATTTATGTATTTTGGCAATGAAAGAACATATCCTTTTTGGGATGTTTTGTTTTACATCTTCAGTTTCTTGTCTAAACTCCTTGTCTAATCAAATCATGCTATACTTTTTGTCCAAACTCCTTGTCTATTCAATGAATCATTACGGGAATATGTTGTAGCATGATCTGGTGTACATTTCTTTCATGTTTGTGTATTTTTTAGGTTAAATAACAAGTTTGTACATGAATACCCGAATTCGCAAAGTAGAATATATGAATTACACCCGAAGTTCTAAATTCAAATATTCAAAATTATTAATAAAACATAAAAAAATCAAAATTTAAGGCAAAACGAGATTTTTTTCAGAGTAATTATTCCAAGAAACCGACGACAAGAACTTATCCAAGCAAAACTCAACTCTTTAATTTGTAGAATACCTGTTGTAGACAGGCATGATAAATAATAGTATTGAATAAACAAACTAAAATGGCTCAATAATCACTAATTTATCTCCAAGATTATATTCGGACCTAAGATGCTTTGCACGCTGTCTAGCTACTAGTGCCCTGCGGCGGTCATATTTAATGTTTTCAAATGGTCCTCCTCTCTTATGAAAAGGAATAGGGTCAAGAACCATCTTCTCGAGAGCAATGGCATTCTCGATAAAGAAGATGCATAATTCAGTATCAACAGCTGCCCCGACAAAACCAGTAATTTCCACCACCTTCAGGCTATGATGAACAATTCTTCTTCCTTTCTCAATTTCTCTAGCACTAAAACGAACCAAGCTGAACTGCAACACCCAAAAGCATATGTAAACACATCCATTAATTGACATAATCGGAATCTATAAAAAAGGGTTCAACATTCTCCCAATTACAAGACCATATTGAAGTTTTTGCTTATTCATTGCCATAAACATCAGGGAGAGGAATGAGAAAAACCTTTTGACAATATAAAGTTAATCAAAATTATTAGTTTAGTAGCATTGTGTGTCTCTCTCTATATATATTCTATGTAAATCCACTGATTCAGAAAAAAGGAAGAATGCTTACATCCAAAGCGAACCGATGCAAGGAAGGGCAGGAATTCACCCACCAAGACAAGAAAAGAAGGCTATCCAGATGATCAAACGTGAAAGCAGTCAACTCCATCTCCTTCAGCTGACTCATTCGAGGGAATTCAATATGCGGCCTTCTCCTCTCTACCTGGATTCTCAAACCATGAGTTAGAATTTATAAATTAACCACAAACACAACGAATTTAAAAGGCAAGACAATGGATCCCAATTCTTCAAACTCACCTCCACAGATATGCGGAGTCCAAGCTTCTGGAGCTGAGAGAAAATTGTTAAAATCTTCGGAAACTTCCTATAAAGTGGTCGAAACAGACCTTTCCTGATGCATAATGTTGTGAGGTTTGGAAGATTCTCAAAGGGAATCTCTATTTGTGGTCCAGTATATTTGAAACTTAACAGGTTGATGGCATCAAGTTCTAGACTCTCCAAATTTGGACAGTCTGACATCTCCATGTAACACCCCCAACCCATACCCGACCCGGATATGAGTCAGAGATACTACATTGACTTTAAAACACAACTCTTAATAAATAATAGTAAAATATTTGAACTGATATAAAAGAAAATACCATAATATACATACTGTAATATAATTTTACCAAAATATTCAGAGCATACACAACTTAACCCCTTTAATTACATGCCAACTGTCATTTACATAACAAAATGACCTACTGATTAAGTTGCTTCTGATCTGATGGTTGCAGGAGTAATACTGTCAAGCTGCTTCACCTGTCTCTTCTATTTTCCTCGGATCCTACGTGTGAAACACTCACACGCTAAGTCATCGACTTAGTGAGGCAACAATAATAAGGCAATGTAATGTAATGAAAATGTCAGGATCATATGAGATGAGATGCAAACATGTAACTAATCAATGTAGTATACTTCATCAATATCCATACCTGTAAGCGTATGACTGTAACATTCATTATTCTGTATTAATAAGTTTATTGGCCCATGATAGCATATTGAGAACCTAAGGTATTTGAGTAATTTGAGGTTGTGCACTATGCTGTCACCACAGCTCGTATAAATGCACCGAAGTGCCCGTAGAATTGCACCGAAGTGCCCGTAGAATTATGTCCATAAGGACCACGTAGAATTCCTTAAGAATCATATACATATACTATGGATCAAGTATGTATCTTTCAAGACTTCACACAGGTTCCAAAGGATATACATATGTCCTAAAGAACCGAGTATACCCTCTACCCTTGGCATGCCAACTATACCTATAGTTCTCATCTACATAACATGGGCTTATACATTTCCCGTAGTTCATATCGCGTAGACATAGTATTTCCATACCTTTAACACACAGGCATATCATTTACATACCTTTATCACATAGTGCATATAACTTTTTCTGCATATTCATGTCATGTAATACATATAATATGAATTCATGTCATGTAATACATTTAATACAAATTCATGTCATGTATCATAATATGGAATGTAATCATATGTCAAAATATGGAATCTAGACTTATCACAAGTCTAGAACTGAATATACTACTATTCATGCTATGCATATGCACTCACCTATACTTCTTTGCCTTTTCCTCGATCGATCCTACTTGTAGATTGTTCTCGAACTCGAGTAGGCTCGGTATCTACATAAACATAATTTTTAAGATGATCATCAGATGTCTATGTCTTGCAATTAAGCTTTAATAGCTTACTAATTTAAAGAATTTATAGCTTAGTCTTGCTTTCTTTTCTTTCTTCTTCTTTTTCTCATGGGGGAATCGGTTCCCCCCTGGGGGTATCGATTCCCCCCAAGCAATCTGGAATTTCATATACGATGAGGGGGTATCGGTTCCCCCCCTGGGGGTACCGATTCCCCTCTAGCAATCTGGAAATTCATTTCGTTGAGGGGGTATCGGTTCCCCTTGAATGGGTACCGATTCCCCTAACCCAGAAATCCTAATTTGAGCTCGGAAATCATCCCATTTCAGCTCAAACATACATATTTCAATCCCTTTACTACTCTTAGCTCTCATACACTTACTTAAACTAATTATTATCCATTAAATACCTCTAAAACCTAGAAATCCAATTCTCCATGTAGAATTTAAGAATCCAACCCAAATTCCAATATGTTCTAATTTGAATTCTAACCCCTCATACTTCTTAATTAGCTTATTGACAAGTCAAAAAATCTGATTCAAACATCAAAAACTCATCCATATCAAAATTTAATCTAAAAACTCATTTTCCAAATCTATCTCTAAAACACTAATCTTGTTGTTTTAATGTCATATAAGCTTTCCTTTAGCTTATATAACATACAAACTTTCATTTCCAATCTTAACAATCAAAGAAACTACCAAGTTCAGTTTCTTACCTTTAATTGCAAGCCACACGTTGAGAGAAGGAAGAGAAGAAAATGAGGAAGAAGGAAGAAGAAATAGGAGGTTCTGGAACCTAAAATCACACGTGGTTCTCATATACCCCATAACATTTTATTTTAATTAGAAATTCCTTGCAAATGACCATTTGGTCCTTACCCCATCTCATATTTACTAACCATACTATTTAAACTATATAATTATTCTACTTTAATCACCAAATGTTGAAACTTTGCAAATTAATCACTAACCCGACATGGAGGATGTTACAAATCTCTCCCCCTTAAGAAAAATTTGTCCTCGAATTTTTCATTGCACGAACAAATGAGGGTATTGATGTCGCATATCCTCTTCACGCTCCCACGTTGCTTCTTCTACTCTGTGATTTCTCCACAATACTTTGACCAAAGGAATAATCTTGTTCCTCAATTGCTTAACTTCATGTGCTAAAATTTGAATCGGTTCTTCCTCATAAGTCAAGTCAGGACGAACCTCAATCTTTTCTGGTGTCACGATATGAGAAGGGTCAGATCTATATCTTCGAAGCATTGAAACGTGAAAAACATCATGTATCTTTTCCATCTCATGTGGTAAAGTTAGCTGATATGCTACAGGTCCTACTCTCTTTACAATCTCATATGGTCCAATAAACCGAGGACTCAATTTTCCTTTCCGACCAAATCTCAACACCTTCTTCCATGGAGACACTTTTAAAAACACCTTATCTCCAACTTGAAATTCAATTTCTTTCCTTTTAAGATCAGAATAGGACTTTTGCCGATCAGAGGCCACTTTGAGGTTATGCTGAATTTCTCGAACTTTCTGTTCTACATCTTGAATTAAATCCGGACCAAGAACACTTCGGTCTTTGAGTTCATACCAATTTAATGGAGTACGACATTTTCTTCCATATAATGCTTCATAGGGGGCCATCTTTATACTAGACTGATAACTATTGTTGTAAGCGAACTCTGCCAGCGGTAAATACTTTTCCCATGATCCTTTAAATTCCATTACGCACGCTCTCAACATATCTTCCAATATCTGAATAGTTCTCTCTGATTGCCCATCAGTCTGAGGATGAAAAGCCGTACTAAAGTTTAAACGAGTCCCCAACGCTCCATGCAAAGATTTCCAGAATCTAGAAGTGAATCGAGGGTCTCGATCAGAGACTATGGAAATAGGTACTCCATGCAATCTAATAACTTCTCTAATATACAGCTCTGCATACTTTTCCATAGAGAAATCCGTTCTAATAGGGAGAAAATGCGCGGATTTAGTTAATCGATCAACAATTACCCAGATTGATTCTCTTTTGTTCGGAGTCAAGGGTAACCCCGAAACAAAATCCATCGTAACATTTTCCCATTTCCATTGAGGAATGAACAGCGGTTGCAATAATCCTGAGGGAACTTGATGCTCGGCTTTGACTTGTTGACATATCAAACACTTAGACACAAATTCTGTGATGCTTCGCTTCATCCCTGACCACCAAAATCGATCATTCAAATCCATATACATCTTGGTTCCACCCAGGTGCATCGTTAACGGACTGCAATGAGCCTCTGTTAATATTTCTTTCTTCAAGTCGTCATTGTCGGGTATTACAATTCTTCCTTTACAATATAGATTTCCATCTGACTTAATCTCAAAGTCTTTAATCTCTTTGTTCTTTACTTGCTCAATTCTTTTCAAACACATTTCATCTTTACCTTGCAATTCTCCTATTCGTTCCAACCATGCTGGTTTAAGGTTAATTCCGCACAAAGACCACCGTCTCCCGTTAAAGATAATCTTGCATCCATAGCTCGTAAAGCTGCAAACGTCTTTCTACTCAGGGCATCTGCTACCACATTAGCCTTTCCGGGATGATAGTCAATTATCACATCATAATCCTTTAAGAACTCTACCCATCTACGTTGCCTCAAATTCAATTCTTTTTGAGTCATCAGGTACTTCAGGCTCTTATGATCCGTATATAAGTAGCAACGTTCCCCATAAAGATAATGACGCCAAATCCTGAGAGCGAATACTACAGCAGCCATTTCTAAATCATGAGTGGGGTAATTCCTTTCATGTGGTTTCAACTGTCTCGATGCGTACGCTACCACTTTTCCTTCTTGCATTAATACACACCCCAACCCGTTATGGGATGCGTCACTGTATACTACAAAATTCTTGCCAGATTCCGGTTGAACCAATATCGGAGTTTCCGTCAGAATTCTCTTTAAAGCTTCGAAACTTTCTTGACATTCAGAAGTCCAAACAAATGGTACGTTCTTTCTCATTAGCTTTGTTAGAGGCAACACAATCATCGAAAAATTCTTAACGA